AATGTGTGACTTGTTGTGCGAAGCCAGGAAATGCAGGGGGGGGGGATATAACATTACCCATATATATATATATATGTATATATGTATATATATATGTGTGTGTGTGTATGTGTGTGCAAAGTTATTGTGCGATGAAGTTTCAACCCTCTACACCCGAGGGCCTGGGGAATATGCTTCCTTTGCCGCACTTAAAGCCCAAGACCGAGTTCGGCTACTTAGGCTCTCTCCCGGTAACTGCGGCTTAGGAATCTGGAATAATCCTTGGGCCTTTAACTCTAAACCCCCAATCCTAAGCCCCAAAGTAAACCCTGGTTGGTTCCATACCACGTGTAGGGGCCCGGGTAGCGACGGTTGCTCTCTGGGTTTCTCCGACCTGACTGCAGACATCGCGGGGCACAAAAGTCAGAGGCATGCGCAGACTCAGAAGTGCTGTTAGCGGGATTGCCTGAGCATAATCCACGTGCGTCTCTGTGTGGTGGGATGCCTGCCCTGGGTTCGTGTGGCTGGTCGCGATCACAAGCAAACCTGTTGAATTTCCTGCTTCGATTAAAGGCCTGGTTTCGGACTTGGCGTCAATTACTGGGCTCCTTTGAAAACATCTGCTTTGGAAGGCCTGGCAAGGCCTAGGTCCTCAAAAGGCATGTGATGTTTCACGAAAGTGTGTTCGAGGGTCCAAATCAGCCTCATAGTCGTCCCAAGCGTCCAGCACCAACCCTAACCCCATGTTCTTGCAGTCTCAGCAACCGAGTGTCCATGTCCTGTGCTCTTCAATCCCAGCGCAGGTCACAATCTCTGCAGTGGCAGAGGGTCTCACGCAGGCTTCGCGCGAGGCTCCTGGAAATTTGCACCTCAGGACTCTTGGATCTAGCGGGTCTTTGGTTAGGGATTGGTTTCCGGTCAAACTATGTTGGTTTAGCGGACTTGTGAGTCAGCTGGCTGAGGTTCATGTCTGTAATTCAAGCTGAGGCCAGGATGAGTCGTCTAGGGAAATCTGGGGCCTTCTTGATCATCCAGAATACTGTAAACTTCTTATTCAATTACTTGGCTTTGGCGTTGAGCCCAACATCCCTCAGGCAGCCCTGCAGGGGAAGGAACTGCCCCAAGCAAAGCCTTGGCTTGGACTGCTCATGACCATAAGTTGGAGGGAAGTCGAGAGTAAGCCGGGTTGTCTCTGAGACCCCTCCAACCCGGGTGAGAGTGCTAAGACCCTCAGCCCAAAACCAGTAAACCTGGGACCTCAGTTTGGCTGAGTCCAAATTACTATCGTGCACGACAGCATAAAGCAAAGGCGAGTCGGGGTTGCCGTTTAAATCATGATGACGTTGCCCAACCGCTCCAACTGGTGGCCCTCCGGTACTCTGAGCCTCCAGCTGGTTTCAGGCCGTCAAAGGATGCCTGCAACCGGTGGCCGCTTGCTTCAAAGGTGTGGGCTAGGTATCCGCTGAGACGGAGCACCGAGGCTGTGGTTTTTTGATTGCATTGTTGACTGTCCGTGGTGGTTTGAAATTGTCACTGCATCTGACGAAGTGCAGTGCCCGCCCCTATGGCCCTATGGCCTGAGTTTTGCATCCATGTCGTTGAGTCCAAGCGGGGCTCACACACACACATGCACACCCCCGGCTTGCGGGTCTGGAAGACGACGGGCCTGGCACTGCAGGGGCTTTGAGGTTTAGGAGATATATGGGAGGGTCGCGCACATGTGGCGGCCACAGGTTCAACAGCAAGAAACATTCACATCTGCTGCCATCTACAAGCTTCCCTAATGACCGACTCTTGTGTTTACACGGGGTTGTTTCTTCCTGTTTGCTCATTTGCAAGTCTTCGTTCAGCAGAATCTGCGACTGAAAAGCGCTGGCAACACCCGCAACTCCGAAACTCCGAAGTCTATATAGCTCCCAAACTCGTCGATCTTATAAAGGTATCCAAACTGTCCAAACTCCGAAAACTGCAAGAGGAGCAAGCTCCGTTCCGGCACCTGGCGCATCAAACCCCGAACATCAAACCATCAATTCCTCAACGCTGCGCGACAATCGACATCAAATCCAGTATTGTTTTGAGATGCTCTAGCCTTGAAAGCCATTGCCCGAAGCTACAACTCCTTGGCCTTCTAAACCTACATGCACCACCGTAGACTGCTGTAGCTGCAGAGTCCGACGTTTACTAACGTGCTTTTCTGGAATACATACGCAACCGAAGTGCATAACTTACAGTGCCTAAGCTTGAGGCTGCTTCCAAGCTTCAAGCTCTGGAGCCCGGGAAGTCATCCAAGGAGTGGTTGGGCATGTTCTTGCGCACCCCTGGCACCGCGCCAGCCACACGCCCAAGGGCACATGGAGGGTTGCCCTACTTCTTAGCCTCCACTCGAAGGAACTATCAGCCATCAACCAGAAGCCTCAAATTCTTCGGTATGTCAGCGAGTGGTTTACGTAATTTGGCTTTGCCCAGCTGTGTGTCGAAGGAGGCGAGGAGCAGACTTTCAGTGGACAAAGGGGCACGATCTTGATCCTAGAATTTCAATACCACGGGAGTGAGTTGAACGACCGTTTTTGCTATGACGGTACATGCACTCCAGCAGTGATAGGAGCTCATGGGCCTATTCAAGGTGTCCTGTGAACTTTTTTTTCGGCTTCAGTGTGGTTAACCCACGCATTGACTGCTGATGTGCCTCCAGAGTGCCATTGACACTGCAGCACGGTGGGCGGTGCTGCGCCTGAACAGTTTGTGGTCTCCCCCAGGCCCCATCCGAAGTCTCAGGCCTACATCCTCAATGCCATCTTTCAGAGCCGGTCGTTGAAGCTTGGTAGCCTCAGAGGCTTCAGGGCTTCGCGTTTGGCTTCCGATGCGGCACTGGGAAGGTTCGGAAGGGTCGCAATGGTCTTACGCTTTCAAGCCTTGCGAGGTGATTCAGAAGGCTGAGCCCGGGCCAGAAAATCTCATCCAAAGTCTAAGGACAGATTGTTTGTAAGCTTTGGGGGGTTCAGTCGGCTTTGGGTTTAGGACCTTGGAATGTAAGACAATGGTTTTTTCAGGTGCCGCTGACGGAGATGTGTAGGAAAACGCTGCCAGGAAGTACTTCGACTACGACTACCAGCGCCAGGATGCCGGTGCCTTACCAGAACTCCCACTTGTCGTCAATTGACTCAAAGCTTGTGCAACAAGTATGTGACAGAATATTCAAGCTCCCAACCCCAAATCTTCAAGTGGCCATGACTTCTTGCACGTGCGCGGGCCCATTCTCTACAAACGGGAGCGGTAGGCTTTCAGTCAAGTGTACTCGTAAGGGTAAGGTCTGAGGGCCCAGCGCGCCAGAAAACCATCTGCGATTGACATTGCATTAGCCGCACTGTCAAAGTGATTGACAGATTTCAGACCCCATCAAGGGTCTGCGGCCATCGAGGACCCAGGGGGAATGCAAACTCCCATCCAACGCGGCGCACACCCCTATTTTTTGTTTGGGGGCTGTTCTTGGCCCTGCCCTCCCAGCGCAGATCGGAATTAATCGCCTACTGTAGGGGATGCGGATGCAGACCGGAGAGCTTGTTGGCGAGGTCTCTTGCTGTGTCTGCAACTGGCGAATGACCCCAAGCCGATCTCGTGCAAGCTATCAGTGTCTGTTGCCTTGCGCAGTCCAGTCCCACGACGTGTCGATGCAGGCGAACATGGCCCATTTCGGCAACTCCTCACACATCAACGTCGAGGAGGGGATTTCTTACGAGGACCGAACTGCTGGCCAGATTTTGCATTACCCTTGGGAATGAAAGGGCTTACCACAGATCGGATTGAAGATGTGACTATACTATACCTTTACATGCTTCGGCATCCCAAAGCGGTCATCCAGTGCCCAAGCTACTTTCAAATTAGCGGCTTGGCATATCCTTGCCGTTCCATTAACAGAAATGGAAATTCGGAAAAGGAATCACCAAGTGTGCAGTGCAAAGCTTTGAGGCCCCTGCAAATCCAACATCATAAAAACCGCTCTGCCCACAAACGCTGTGAGCCCGAACCATGCCGGGTCAATGCCAAAAACCGGCTTGGCTTTCTGAGAAGTCCCGAACCCCCCTTCTTCGACGGTTGGCCACTTGAGTAGGCATCATTTTGTGAGCCTGAAGATTCATCGCACCTCTAACAAAGCAAGGCGGAGGGAGTGGTGTCTATCCATCGCTAGCTCCGAAGCCACATGAACCCAAGAGGTTGCTCGGCATGCGGCATTTGCACTTTAATCGCATGCGCGCCCTACCGGCAGCCGGGATGAGCATGCACTGCATGTTCCGGGATCACAGTCGCCACTCCGCCCCTACACCGCCACCCTCAGGGCACGGCAGTTATCATTTGTCCCAACATAGTATGCCTGGGCGACGCGTGGAACCAAACCTGAGCTCGACTCGACGGCATCATGTTCTTGAAACCCTAGAACTGGACCAATACAGTGCAGCGTGGGTTTCGACCCTGTGACTTGGCACGTGCTTTGGCACATGTGTAGACCATAGACACTCCTCACTTTGATTCCCTGGCCTGACATCCTTCATCCTTCGTCCATCTCCAGACACCTCGGCTGCGTAGGCGCATTTTTCTGCAGGACTTTGAGGCCTACTTCGAGAATCGCCGGAAGCTCGGCCGGAGCCTTGGGCCGGTCTTCGGTCACGCGGCTTGTGCTTCCCTTCTACACGTGAACATGCTGCTAAGGAGGTGCTTACTGCGTCTGCTGCTTTCGCTCGTTTTGCGGTTTTCCTTGCCGCTCGGGGGTTCGAAGACCCATGAAGACCCTACCTTGCACAGCCTGCTGGAAAAAGATGGGGGTTGGCTTTCAGTCCAAACAGACAAAAGGCGGAGCGCAGGAAGGGAGGTTGTGCTTTGGACGAAAAGCAAGAAGTAACCTTGCAAGCGCAGAGCATGACAACGTACAAGCTTCGCCGCCAGGGCCGCCAAAGTGTTCATGTTCCCAGGACTCGGGTTCCCAATCCAAGCCGATGGCTGAAACCTCGAACCTTCCAACCGCGTAACTGCAGCTCGAAGCTACCTCAAATCCGAAGCCCTCAGCACAGATGCCGCTAGAAGTCCTCTGTTAGGTGTTGTTCCAGATCATGGTCCCTTCCAGTCCACCGCAACAATCTACAATCTACATGCTACCCTTTAGCTTGCATGCGCGTAAAGGCACCTCGATTGGAAGTGCCTGCATCTTGAGAAACGAGCCATAAGTCAGTGGACAGGCGCCGATGGCTTTGATCTCTTGCGTGGACTGGGCATTGAGGCCCGGCTTCCGGGCCGTAGACCTCAAACCTTGCCCAAATCCTAAAGCACCGAAACTAGACTGCATGGTAGTACGCTCAGTGTTTATATCAGGCTTAGTCGGCCTAATCACAGTCGGGGCTCAGGAAAAAGTTGTGTATCGCTCAGAGCCAAGGGCTTCGGGTGATTGAACGGACTTGGAGGTTTCGGGGCGTGAGCCCAAGTTTTGAGCTTGGAGGGTGTAGGGTGTTATGTTGGGCTGCGGTTGCATGTCATTTGCTGAGGGTGTCCAAAATATTCCTTAATTCTGCTCGACATTGGGAAGGCAATCACCGAGACTCCGGCTAAACACACTAAAAACGCCCTTCACCCTACTGAAGATCATCCTAAAATTGTATACAACTACGAGGACAAGCCTTCAGAAGCCATGAGACTCGACCAGCAACCCCCAGAAGTACCTGCCCGACGAAACTACTTGAAGCTGGCAGCAGAAGATGACAGACTCTTTTCTCATGTCGTCACGCCCTAGGTGTCTTCCTGCTCGCGGAATACGGATCCACAGGAGGACGAGGCAGGCGAACTGCTCCAACCGGCTTTTTCTGCGTGAAGGCAGAATTTGAGTGCGAGGTGGAGAACTACGATTTCGACGACCACAACCACACCTTTGAGGCCAGAAAGGTCTTGGCACAAATGGCCACTTGGTGTTTAAACCGGAGACCCCCGAAACCTAGCTTGCTTTGCAGGAGTATGCCACACTTTTGAACTGATGTAGGCTCCAAGACGGAGGTAAAAAACCGAGGGATTCCGGTTATCATGGAATCTAGGCATGCACGGATTGCACAGCACCCAAAGGTTTTGTAGTTGTTGGGTTGAGTGTCGCTGCTGTCTTGGGTTTACGAAGTGTTTGGGTGACTACGAACTCGATCAGAGCACACGTGTGGGTGTGCTCCGGCGTGGGTTTGGGCTTGATGATCTGCATCGGTTGGTCCCCTGATTGAAGGTGGTACCCAGCTTGAGGCTGGAATTCTGCTCAACTTGTCCCAGCTGATGCCCTGACTCGTGAGATCTGCACTCCTGAACCCGAGATGCTCCAATTGCCGGCTCAAGTTAAGATGCCTGGTACCGATGAGGTGCACTTCATTCCTGTGAAGATCTGCGAAGAGCTGCTTAAATTTGGAGGCCCGAAACTCCACAACTGCCCAACCTTTCAATCCGAGGTCCCGAAAAACGCACACGTGCGCCTAGACGTGACGGAGCCAAGGATACGAACCAGCGGAACAGCCTTTGGAGCCTCGGATGCGCTGGCAAATGTTTCGATGCATCAGAGAGACACAGAGAGAGAGAGAGAGAGGGCCAGGACACCCAGTCCCCATACCCTCAGAAGCAAGCAAGCAAGCAAGAGAGAGAGAGAGAGAGAGAGAGAGAGAGAGCGGGCAGGGTCGAGTTGAAACATGATGTTTGTTTATTGGCGGCTGAGGGTGCGAGGTAGACTCCGTAACTCTTCTGTACCAACTTTTCTTTCCTACGTGCCGGTCATGTTGATTGGCCGGAGATCAGTTTGGAGACCGCGGCGTAGCAGACAAGGTAGTCGTTTCCCTGCAGTCGCAAGTGCTGCAAGCTGGTGTTTCCCCTCCTCCAGGTAAATCATAGCACAATTCCGGAATCCTGTGGAACCGACTCAGTCGCCGGTTAGCTACAGGCAAAACCAAGTTTTTCGGGCGCAGCCACCGTTGTGCTTTGACATGGTTTGACCGTGTCAATTCCGTCACGACCCCCAGTGCATGGTAGGTTAATGAGTTGATTGGTGTGTTGAGCATCTCTGGTTGCAGAGAAACAAGTGGTGTTGAGGCCTCACCTCTCAGGCGAGCTACGAAGTACGTGGCATGTTGTCCTTTCTTTATCTTTGTGATTGACCGCACCTAAAACCCCAACAGGGGGCACCCCGAAAGGGGAGGGGTTGTGTGACGGGACCCGAAGGCCCCAGAGAAAGAAAGAAAGCAAGAAGGAGACAGAGAGAGAGAGAGAGAGATAGCACTAACCAGGGGAGCTCCCCTAGTCCATAGCCCTAACGAAAGAAAGATAGCGCTAACCCTGCCGAAAGAAAAGAGAGAGATAGCGAGAGTATGCAGCCAGTCAATCATGCATTCAGTCAGTCAGTCAGCCAGCCTGCCTGCCTGTCTTTCTGTCTGTCGTCGTGTTTGCGTTTGTGTGGTAAATGCACATCAGCTTGGGCGTGTAGTGGAGCACGGGGGTGTGGTGGCTGAGCACTACCTCGAACCCTTTCTGATTTGCTTGGCGTGGTTGTTGAGCGATGCGTCTTGGCCAGGTGTTAGCATACCACGTACAAGCCCAACGCTTGCGTTCCTCCAAGCCGAAACCCTTATAAACTTAAAAACCAGATGCCGTAACCCGGAAGCCTCGAGCATCTCGGCGCAGGTCCCGCACCCATACTGCCAACACGCAGCTGGCCGAGGAGACCAAAGCGGATCGCTGCTCCCAGTCCCGATTGAACGCGAGGGTTCGCAAGGGTAGTAGTTAGTTGTGAAAACAAGAGGTCTCACCATGTAAAGTAGTGTATCTGATGCAGTTCAAGCAGCAGCCTTACTGATATGTTCGGCTCAAAATGAAAACAAGCCCAACTGAGCTAGGCTTTCATTCAGGGATTGGGCATCTTTCGGGTTCGGTCCCTTGCCCTTCCTTTCCTTTGTTCTTGCCCTGCCCTGGTGGCTTCAACGATTGGGGTCTGAATAGCTGGTTATCAGCCGTGGTGTTCGTCCTTGTTTTCTGGTTCTTAGCTGGGTGCTGAACTGGAGCATAGTGGGCATAAGAGCCGGAATCGGCTACCCGAAAGCACAAAGCGTATCAAGTTCATCACCTGCGACACCATCCTTGCGAGCACTCGTCATTGGACGAGGTACCTGCTGCCCACGCGGACGGGACCTCTAGGCCATTGTATACTTTGTCAGGGTGGAAGTTTGAGAGCTCGGAAGAGGAAGAGGAAGAAGTGGTCGTGGAGCCCGTGCCCATCATCCCGAAGGCCAGGGCATCGGTGCCATCTTTTGACTCCTAAGTATCGGACTATTGCTCAGGAGATTACCAAGCCAAGCATTGTTGCTCACGAAGTGCCGAAGCCAAGCAGTACCGCAAAGTTTTTTCCGAAACCATCTCCGGTCGTGCGAGCTAAGTTGGCGCCAGTTGAGCCTGCGGGACCGCCACATGGATTCAAGGGCAAGCCTGAAGGTCCGTTCGCCGGCAGCATCTTCGCCGTCAGGTTCGTTGACTACAGAGCCCACGGTAGATTTGCCCAAGAACGTGCGTCTTTGCAATCCGTTTAACTTTGCACGAGTCAACATAAAGGCCTCGGACGCGCAGCAAATCGACTCCAAGATCGTCATCTTTGACTTTCGCAATTTGCTTAGACAGGTATTTTACAGCGTCACGGCCTTGTCAGCGGAAGACTCAGCATAAGATTCCTTGCCCGTCAGAGATCATCCGGAGCTTTCGGCAGACGTGCAAGAGATCCTTCAAAGACTCGCCGTGCTGCTGAATCTGAACGCCCTGCCACATCGCGGGGTGGTCACAGGACATTGAGCTGCGCCTTGGACACGCTCAGGAATACATTTACTGAGTCTTCTGGAGCCAACAGGTTGACGTGGTAGTCACCACGAGGTGTCGCACCGGGCGCTCTGGAAAGCTTGATATTTGCCGTCGCATTTTCAACGCTAGTCAGCGATTGACGATGATACCGACATCATCGAGGAGGGGTTTTCCAGGGCGGGATCTGCTGCATCCCATATGCAGTTCGCAAGAGTCGAGTCCCAACCCTGGGCCGCAGTTTCACCTCCGTCTTTGAGGCTGAGGAGGCCATTTTGGCCTGGATCAGAGGCGGAGCCCCTAGGTCCTGAGGAGATTGCCTGCATCGCACCACAACCCAACCCTCAGAGTCTTCCGGTTGCGAAGCCTCGACCTCTGGGTCTTTTTCGATGCCGCTTAAGTCTTCGGTTCCACCATTGGCTTCGGTGTCCGGATCTAGTGAAGCTTCCTGGGTTCACCTCGATGTTTCCGACCTTCCTCCTGAACGAAAGTTGTATGCCGGTACTTAGTGCGACCATCGTTGTCTTCGTATCCTCCTCCCTCACAGCCTACATCACCTGTCGCGGACCCTCGCGTGGACCAACTTATCAAGGTCGTTCAGCAGTTGGTTCAACAGGTCAGTCAAAATGGATCCTGGTGAGACCATTGAAGATGGTGATGCTGACGTGGTGAAGGAACTGAAGGAAAACTATGTCGTTGATCAACGGGCGCTCTTGCACCTCAAGCTTGAGCCGGTGCCTCCTGATGCAGCCAGCTGGGGAACATGGAAGAACGGTTTCAAGGCTCAGTTGTCTAAGTTAGACACGTCGGCTCAAGGCCTCGAGCTTGCTGGGATTTTCCAGGGGCTTTGATGCAGACAGGGCTGATCTCGAGGATTCGGAACTTCTCCCTAGGCTCCACGCATGAGTTGCAGGGGAATTGTCTGGAGGTCGTGTTTTGAAAAAGTCCTCTGAGCTGGAGCAGGACATTACAGCATACATCGAGAGGCCAGCTGGGTCATTCGCCCAAGGGTCGAGTGATGTCAGTGCTCGGCATTATGACTTGGACCGTGTTCGGGTTTCAGTGTTGACTGCATCAACGTTGTTTCAGATTGAATTGGGTGGCGGTTCCATCAAAGACCTGAGGGACTTTGTGAACTGCATCCGTCTTGGTAGATTCTCAGTGCGATTCCAGTTGGACAAAGGCCTGACAATCGCCTCAGCCCGGTGAATGGCTATTTCATCGTGTGAAACGCATTCGCAAGCTTCAGCATGTCATTGAAGACATCCAGGAATCAGGAGCCACATCTTACAGAAGGGAGTGGTCTTACTTGCGGGATAAGATTCAAGATTTGATTGTTCAGGATCGTGAGCATATTAACACTCAGTCAGTCTTGAGGTCCTTGCAACTAAGACCAAAGCTGTTCCTGCTGTAGATGGAGGAAACGGAAAGTCCAATGCCTCTCCGGCAGTGCCGCCGAAGACTGCACTTCCCAAAGCTGACCCTCCTCCTCCTCCTCCCATCGCCCCTGAAGCTCCGGCCCAAAACAAAGGCTAAGGCCAAGGCCAAGGCAATGACCGATGCAGAGAAAGCCAAGACGCCATGCATTGTTTTCTCAAATGGCATTCAGGGGACAATCAATTGCAAGTTCAGTCATAAAGCTCCCGCGCCTAAGCCGAAAGCCAAAGCCGAAGAAGCCTCTACAGGTAAGCCTGGAACAGTAGCCAAAGCTATGGTTGCCCTTGTTGCAGCTAGCTTGTGCACTCCAGTGATCTTTGCCGGTCCTACATACTCTGCTGAGTGGGCCGCTGACACTGCAGCAGGCCGTCACTTAGGCCCGGCCTAAGCGTTGTCTGATCAAGGGATTCCTCGCCAAGCTTTTGATCATTTCCTGGGTGCTTCTCTTTCCCCTGTTACGTTTCATGCTGGAGGTGGTCCTCAGTCAGGTGAGCAGTTTCTTGGTGTTGATTCCCACAACATGGATGTTGCAAATCATTTCATGTTGGATAGTTGCCCTCTAGTTCGCAGTACCGGCATTGATGTAGAGTCTGGGAAAGCCTTCTTATGGTTGCCTGGAAGTCTACCGCTCTTCGTTTCGGATACATTTCGTCTGAAGATTGAGTGTCCGGAAGACTGTCGTCACTATGCAACTCGTGTTGATGAGCATGTTCCCATTTTCACCAGCCAGGTGAGATTCAAATGTCAACCGGCAAGTACGGTGAGTGACGCCTTCAGGGAGGCTAGTCACGCCTAGTCACGTCAGCGAGGATCCGGCAGGAGTTCCAAGTGCCGTCCAAAGCCTCGCGAGTTTAGAGCAAGACAGATTCTAAGCTGCGGTGGTAGTGTTAGTTGCAGTGCTGTTCGCAAGTTGTTTGGTCTCGTCGAGAAGGAACCAGATCCCAGGGCATCGTCCGCGTTAGAGTTAAAAGCACAGTCCATGCTACCATCTACCATGCCCTGGAAAGGCGACAGGTTGGTGATGGTGCTTTCTCCACAGAAATCCTTCCCAAGTCAGCGGAGGTCATTACCAAGAGCTGCGCGCTCTTGGGTTCCCGATCGGTTCTGGTGATAGGCCCTTGCCTGCTCTCCCTGCCGAGGCTGCCCCATCCAACGGACATGACGCCGGTGCCTCACTTGAAGTGTCGGGTTATGTTCATCGTGATGATGATTATGAGGGTAAGGATCCCGAGAAACTTTGGAAGTTGAGGGATCAAGCGATGACGCTCGAGCATAGGCCCTTCCACTTCCCAAAGAATCCTTTCTGTGATGTTGCAATCAGGCTCGCATGCTGTCTAGGCGTGTTCGTAGGAAGCTCCGCGATCCTGATGAAGAGCCTGATCCATTTGAAGCTTCTGAGTTTGGAGAAGTCATTGCTGTAGATCACATTCATGCATTTAGATCGCCAGACGACTCCGATGCTCTTGACAAGTCATATGTTGTGTTGTGCGTGAGAGAGAACTTTGGGAATGACCGGTCCAGCCGCGCAGTTGTTCGTGCCTTGACGAAGTTCGTTGGAAGCCGTCCCTCGTTTCTGACGCTGCCGAAGAGTTCGAAGAAGCAGCTGCCGAGGAGATGGGTTGAATTTCTTCCTCCTCGATTCCCAATCAATTCCCTCAAGATGCTCAGTCAGCGCGGGAGATCAGCACCTTTCAAGAGGGCGTCGCGTGTCGTTTTCCATCCGTCCTGAGCTGTGGCCTGTTGCATATCACTACGGGTTGCGTGCCCTGGTGACGACTCTTGCAACAGATAGGATTTTGCCACTGGGGGTGTCGTGTTGGCAGCTTGCTTCTTGGGCAGCTTGTGTTTTATCGGCACTAGAACGAATGAGAGCAAATTCGGTCACAACGCCGCCCCAGGTTTGTTTGCAGGATGGAGACTTGAGCCTGGCAGTATTTATTTTTCGGTAACTTTTGTCTTCGACCGAGAAAAGCTTCGTCACAGAGAATGTTCCAGAGTCTGAGCTTCATATTTGATCTGGTGATCCGGTCTTTCCATTCTGCTGCTGAGCATGCCCTGTTGTCTTTGGCAGATCAAGGTGATGTTGAGGTCCCAGGTCCGCTCCTGCAGACGGGTTTACATCACCTATGCCAGGTTTCGTAAACTGTGCCCGACTCCAGGATGCTTAGCATGCGACAACGACAAAAGTAAGCGAAACAAGGAATGCATTGCAAGGTTTGACTATGAGCCGTCGAAGTTGCTGCAGAGGATGGCCCGCAGTCGTTGCTGTTCGCGGGTGTCAGAAACCTGGTGCACTTGTTCTCTTCGAGATCGTGTCCCACCCGATGTCTCGCCTCTCTGGAATGTGCGCGTTATCGGGAGTTAGGGTCATCACTGTGCCATGTGATCAGGTTGATCTTTCCGACCCAAGATCATTGATCAGCTTGTCAGCCAGGCTTCGGCTGTTCCGGGGTATGGTGTTGGGGTACAAAAGCTTGTGGGTACGAGCTCTGGGAAGTTCAGCGTTCTTTCCTTGGTTTCTTGTCTTGCAAGTTGCCTCGGCTGTTCTTATGAACGGCGGTGAAGTCAGTGTTGATGGGCCTCAGGATTCGTCGTGTTGGCCGTTCCCTGAAGTGGAAGCTTTTGAATACCAGTTCAGCTTGAAGAAAGTTTCATTCCGGGGTTGTGCTCTTGGAATGATCATATTGACCGGCGTTCCGATTGATGCTCCTTGGCAAGTCACGTCATCTAGCAAGCGTGCCATCGATAACTTCAGACCTTTCAATGTGAAGCATGACAAAGCAAGCTCACTGCGGTCCAAAGTAGCTCCTTATCCTGAAGCTTTAGACTTTGCACAAGGTCTAAGGTGCTGCTTATGTCTATGTTTGCATTTGCTGATGTATTTCACGCCCCTGCCCTGCCGTGCGTTCTCCCTTACCTCAGCTCCATCGCGAGAAGGATTCCAAGCCTTCTGTGCCGCTTGATGTGCTCATGCACGAGGCTGGCATGAAAGAGGTTAAGGTTCCAGGTCTAGTTCACAGGTCCTTGCTTGCAAGGACTGGGCAGGCCAGCCTGGTGCCTATGAGGCAATCAAACAGGAACAGGATGGTTTAGTCGGCGTAGGAACTTGGACTGAAGATGAAATCATTTCCAACATGACGTTCTTGCATGGGCTAGTAGAACTGCAAGCGCGGTTCACTTCGGTATCTTGATGATTATCTTGTTTGTCAAAGGATCCGAGCTCAGTCACAATCCAGACCGATGGAGGCTCAAAGCTAGGATAGTGTTCAGGGGTCGATGACATAGGAGATCAGTCGGGTATGTCAGCTGTTGTTGAGGAGCTGATTGCTTCTTCTCCTTCGTCGCTTGAAGGGCTTGAACACTGCTGCTGCTTTCGGTCTTCTTGAGTCCCACATGCAGAGCGTGCGTGCACACAAGCACGGCTCAAGACAAAACACAGGACGTACGTGCTTTTGCCTCCAGAGCTCGTCCCTCCCGACAAGAAACACATCCAGCAACCTTGGTGCTATAGCTCCCTCTGTGAGCAGGTCGAGCCGGGCGCCACTCACCAGAAATTTGGGACTTTGTCATAGATTCGTCGATGTTTTGGTGGCAACAAAAGGAGCGCTGGCTCTCGAGTCAGTTGACTTCGCCAAGCGATGCGTGCAGCTCTACGCAACGGTTGCTGCACTCACAGTCAGGCCCCAGCAAACACCACATCTCGACATCAGCACGCTGCCTGCAGCCGATGATGACTTTCGAGGTCAGTTGACTGAGCCCGCTGCTCGCATCCCTTTGAAAATCCTCTGGTTAGTCGTCCTGATCTGCTTGTCGCCTTTACCACCCTTGCCAGTCACGCCTGCTCATGGAGCAAGAACGACAGACGGGTTCATCGGCTTGTCGGCTATATCCTTCCTCAGCTCGTTTGATCATGATGCTCCTTCCGAATTACGGTTGGCCCTCTACTGTGATTCTGACTCCGCTGGTTGTGTTGACACGTCGTGGATTCGTGTTAGCCTTCGAAGGCTCTTCCAGCTTTGTTCTGCTATCTTGGAGCTTTCGTCGTCAGAAGGTCGTTTCTCGGAGTAGCACCGAGGCAAAGTTCGTCTCGCCGAGTGGAGTTCTGTTCAACGATGCTGTCCTTGTGCTTGAGGTACGGTAATCCCTCGTACCAAGTATTCATCTCCGCATTTTCGAAGACAATCAAGCTTGTATAGCGATTGTGAAGAAGGGACTCAGCTCCAATTTGCGACATCTTGCTACAACCCACCGGGCGATGTAGCGTCCACCAGTGAGCTGGTGAACATGAACGAAAACGTTCTGCTACAGAACTGCAAGACTGACGACCAGAGAGGTGATCCTGTCACCCAAGCACTCCCACTTCAGAAATGCGAGCATGCATTGGCCTTGATGTCCATTGCAACCCAGCTTTTGCCAGACTTCGACGGTTTGGCTTTTAGTCGCTTCCTTCAGATGCTTGGCTAGGCCACTATCAAATGCACTTTGCTGAGCTCTGCGCTTTGAGGATATCTTGAGTCTTGGACACAGACTCTTTGAGTGCTCCTGCTCTCTCTGTTAGGCTGCTTCGCGCCACAAAGATGAGGAAAGCACGGGGAATCAATGGTAGGCTGAAAGCTGGTGCCTCCTCAAATTTCACAATTACACGGAGCCTGATCAACTCCACAGTGCTGCTACAAATCAGAAGGGGGGAATTGTGAAAACACCAGGCTTCCCATGTAAAGCAGTGTATCTGATCAGGTAGCTTATACATCAGCCTTACTGATATGTTTGGCTCAAGATGACAAAACAAGCCCGATTAAGCTGGGCTTACTTTCAGGGCTTGGAGATCTCTCAGATTCGATCCCTCGCCCTTCTTGTCCTTTCATCTTACCCTGCCCTGGTGGCTTCCTCGGTTGGAGTCAAAATAACTCTAGTACCAAATTTCGAGATTTGGTTGGTTTATGGGTGTGTTAAGGTTGAGGACGTTTAGGGATGTTCGGGTTCAGGGATTCTGTCCCGCGCCGTGTTGTGCATTTTCGTTGGTCTGTACTATTTGGCACGATAGCCCGTCAAAACCGCAGGAAGTCTGACTGCAAGAACGGGTTGAGGGATATTTTTGGGGCCAAAAGCTTTAGAGGATTGAATTGGTTTAGGGCCACATGCTGTCGATGCGTGACTTCTTGAAGTTGCTTGGGAAGGCTTTGCAATGCCAGAGTCTGTAAATAGTGCTGCTGTCAACCTTGGCGGTGCTTACGGCCAAAGCACTCAAGTGTAAATCTGTATTAACCGACAAACCCTCCGACGAAGAACCCGACGCAGACGCTCTCGAGAAAAGCCACGATTGCAAAGCTTTTGGGGCAGCCCGGAATGTTTTGTTTTTTATTTTCCTAAGTTTATGTCGTTGTTCTTTTGGGCTCGCATCAAAGAGTAACGAAACCATGGATTTCTTTTCACGAGACCCAAAAATTTCCATTGATTCCTTTATCAGTAATCAAAACGTGTCCAAAGCTTTCTTGTTTTTTGCAAAAGATCCAAAAATTCCTTAGGTGTTTGTTTTCCACTGAAAATAAAGTACCATGGGTTCGTTTGCGAAGCAAAAAACAGGAAAAACAACAACTCCAAAAGTTTCAGGGTCCCCACAAGGCTTTTTGGATTTTTGTGAATTTGGCTTCGGTTGTCGTATGGTACCTTTAAATGCTGCCTGCTCTTTTTCTTTGACACTGTTGTTGGTGTCCAAGATCTTGGCCGCCTCCCTCCATTTGTTTATGGTGCACCAAGCCATTTTCTCCCACTCCGTTCATTTCGCTCAACAACTCTATCCCCAAAGCTAGAGATAGCATGGTTGCCTCCGAGGCTCTTGCTGCAAGAGATCGGCCGCCGCGTTACAGATGGACTCGTTGACGAACAATAGGACGATGTCATTCTGTAGGCCACACTGCAGGCGATAAGAGGGAACAAGGCATGCATCCCTACAGGAGCCTGTATGCATGTATTCAGACACATACGCGAACGCACAAGCACACAGATAGATAGGTAGATGGATGGATGGATAGCAGGATCGATTGATAGATACATAGGTAGATAGATAGAATCATTGACACGAGAAAGAAGATAGATAAACACATCGTTCATGAGGCTTACTTTCAGTATGGGAAGGGCCGGCCTGTTAATACAAATGGATAGAAATTAGTGCATTTGCGCACGGCAAGCGCAAGCAGAGCCAGGCACTGGGGGCCAAAACCGCGCACGTCCCAAACCCGAAACCCAAAGCGACTCTCGTAACCGTACAGAGTGATGTATGCATGTCTTTCTACGTATACGTATATATACAGCTTTTTGGGTATGCATAAATATAAATGTAAAAACATAGCAAAAACATATACATATATATATATATGAATACATATATATATATATATGTTAGATGTACATATTCCACATAGTAATAGTGTATGCATGTATCTTTGTATATGCACAAAACATACAGATATCTACGCCCGATCCGAAACTCCGCGCTACGTTGGTTCGTTGATTCAATCTCATGAGCACCAGGCAGCAAGGAGCAAATTCTGTCAGGCTTTCCACCTAAATTAAACACGAAAAGCCTTGCCCCTGGCTTCACCATTTCCGGTTCAATTGTGGGTAATCAAGTCGCCTGTTCTACTTACGTGTCAAGCTTCGCATGCCGTGCACTTACGTTCGTGGCGGGTCTCCAATTCCGTTGAGTGGTCATAGTGGGGGTAATCCTCGAAACACCATTACCATCGCGTGTGCTTGTCGACATTTGGTGAACTGAGGTTGCGCGGTTCCGGGCTAGGGTTAGTAAGCATCTTTACGCGGCTCCTTGGCAGCATCAGCTGGTCATGGCATTGTCCCATTTGCCGAGGGCATGGGAATGATGACTAGTTCCCGTAGCTTGCTCAGCTGCTTCCATTGAAACACGGCAGCCATTGAAGCCTCGCAGGGCTTTGACTGTCCTGTCTGCACGCTTTCTCAATTTCTCCACTGTGCCGTGCGACCCCGGCCTGCAATCCCAAGTTCAACACAGAAATCCCGAGTTCGACAGAAGTGAGCATCGCCTGGCAGGACATTCATCGCCCCGGCTCGTGTTCTTCAATGCCTGCTGCCGGATGTCTTGAACAACGAGTACGTGATGTATGCGCGCGGTCTCAAGTCAAGTGGACGGACATTCAAAAGAGGAAGGGGAGGCTTGAAAGAGGCTACCGACAGCGTTCTGGGGATTGGGTGTTGGCTCCCTGGGCTCCAAGCCGAACGTTCCTGTAATCTAAAGGTAAACAGACTACAGGCTTGTAGCTTAAACTCCGCTCAACCAAGCCTCGAAATCTGCAAACATCAATCCTTTCTGCAGGAACTGCAACCTTTCCAGCTTATGTAAATCCCACAGCACTTAACAGCATGTGAAGCTGGCACTACCGTTCGCTCTTTTCTCGAGGCCATTGCGCACTCGAGCAATGAAGACATCTTCAATTTCGAGGGCTGTCAGGCGCCGGGCTTTCCCTGTCTTTGTCGAGCGGAAGACCCCATATGCAAAGAGCACGATGGAAAACTGAGACTTGAGTACCTTGTGCAGTTTCTTGTTGACCCTGCAGATCCATCCTCGCCCTCTAGTTATGCCACTTCGACAGCACTGGCGCAATTCATGAAGGACCTTGCCACACGCTCTGACGATGTACTTGCACGGACCTTGGTGGCCCGACCAGAACAATACGACACACTACGTAAAACGATTTGGATTTCGGCGTTCAGGCTTCATTACTGTTGGTTGGGCTTCTTTTGGGTTTTGGACCCGGCAGGCGATCATCAGCCTGGGCTGGAACCAGGCACGCTGCGCCATGCTGCGCCCGGCCTCGTTGCCAAATCCTCACCCTTCAGAGGAGAACTTCGTTCCTGCAATCCCAAAGTCTAGACTCTAGACTGGAGGCAAAGGTAGGAAGGACCTGAAACCTCAACCCTGTACCTCAGGCTGAACCTGCAGTCCTTCTCAAATCCTCGGCAAGGCTTGGCGGGGCGCCCTCCTGGACAGCTTCATCAGCGTGAGCCTTGCGTCACCTGGTGCTGCAAGGATGTATCGTTCAGGCGACTGAATGGGGGATTGAGACTATAGGTGACTAAGTCGTCAGTCTTTTAGGCAGCTATGATCTTGATGAATTTGCTCTGCCATGTGTTTTCCTTTTGTCGTCGTTGTTGCGGAGGTTGACCCGTCTCCGCAGCCTGTGCAGCAGCACGGGCAGTTCAAGGATTTGTTGCCGAGTGAGCGCTGACTGTTGTACCCGTGTGTGGCAGCTCCGACTGCGACTTTGGAAAGAACTCAGGGTGCTCTTTGCGGTCCTCACGCTCTTCCTGCAAGACACACCGGAGACACCCGGCAGTGACCAAGTTGAGTCCTGGTGCCCGATACGTATAGGCCCGGTCTGCTCTTTTCGCCACAAGATTTGCCAATGTGTATCGGCGAACAGAAAGAGTACTACTAGGTTACTAGATTGTTGCTATTCGAGAGACCTGGCTTTCCCTCAAGTCGAGCACATACTCTGACGCTCAGGAAAGTTCCCAGTGACCGGTACATCGTGCTGGCTGCGAGCGCTGTTCTTGCAGCTGGGCATTCGAGTCGGATGTCGCGGTATGTCGATATTGTGAAGCCCGGGAATGAGTGTTTTGGTTTTTGCGGTTTTTGTTGTGCTCCGCAGACGCAGCTCCGGCAAGCGAAAAATTCAGTGAGCGACCGCTCCCGCACAGCAGCAGCAAAAGAGCATCGCAGGAACAGCAAGCAAAAAGCACCCCTCCGCAGCAGCGGCCAAAAATGCACCCGCCACCGCAACAGCAAAAGCAAGCGCACAAACCCGCACGCACATGCACAGGCACGGGCACATGCGCACATGCACCCCCACACACACACAGAATCACAAACAGCTGAAGTACTTTCTGTTGCGTTCGACTGACACACGAAGTCCTTTGCAAAGCCCCCGAAGCTCGCAGACAAGGTGTCCCTGAACTTCCTGAAGGAGCTCTTTTCGCTGCAGGGAATGTTCTTGCTGGGGAAGCCCTTCGTTTGCATAAGAGCATTCAGCCCAACCATCGTCGGCTTACAGGTTTGGGCTGCGGGGGTCTGCGTGTTTCAGCCTTCTGAGCTCAAGACGGAGGGCTCAGGATGCTTGGCTTCTGAAACCGAGGCTGCGGCAGCACTTGACGACGGCATCTGGGCTGCAGGGAAGCTTTGCCGATCGGCATGGATGCACCTTTCGAAGCAGACCTCGCTGCAGCCGGACATTCGTATGAATGTGTGTATGTGTATGTATGTGTGTGTGTGTGTGTCTGTGTGTCTGTGTGTCTGTGTGTGTCTCTGTGTGTGTGTGTGTGTGTGTTCGTTCCCCCCCTCTCTGTTCGGCCGCTGGCGTACCAACCCTATACCTAGACTCGCGAGAAAGTACTTGCTTTGTTCAATCCAAGCAAAGT